GCAGCAGCTCAGGGGCATGGCCAAGCCCTTTAGGGCACAGACCACACCTGGGGACAGAGCCAGCTCCCTAGGCCTTCACCCAGACCCTGAGCCAATAGGATAGGCCTGTAAAATAGGCTGGGGCAAGGAATTGTGGCCCCACTTTTCAACTGAGGAAATGGAAGCCTGGAGAGACTGTGACTGAGTGGAGTGGGGCTGAGATTGCCCCGGATTCTTTGACACACTCACTGCAGAGCAAAGCCATGGCCCCAGTTTACAGTGGAGGGAGGGAAGAGAGGGCTCTGCGGCCAGACGACACAATACTTATGAGATCCCTTGTCTCGTGGGGCAACTTTCTGTTTGTCAGCCTGACTCCACCCTTGACAACATGTGCTATCTGATGCCCATCACGGAGGAGACTCAAGTGGCAAGATATGCACACTCCCAACTACACACTGTGTAAGGGGTTATGTGCACGTGTACATGGATGAGGTGTGTGCTGGAAGCCTGCAGGCTGGTCCAGAAAGAGGGAAAACTCTCCATTTTGCCCTCAACCTTACCCTTGTCCCCCCGCAGGTCCTCCGGAACCACGTAATGGTGCGTGTGGGGGGCGGCTGGGACACACTCAGCCATTATCTGGACAAACACGACCCCTGCCGGTGTACATCCCTCTGTGAGTCCCTTGAGAGTCCCCTCCCTGTGCTCTGGGTTGGGAGGCTGGAAGTGGGAGGTAGGTCTGATTTCCAGGGGCAACAGGTGTGGGGGGTCTAGAGAAAGGAAGGTGCTACAGAAGGTACAGGTGCGGTGCTCCCTCGGCCCTGCAAGGAGAGCTGAGCGGGCACAGTGCAATACCAATTCCAGCCACAAGGTGACGAGATGACGCCAAGCACCCAGAGAATCAGCGTTTGGTCGGGGTGCATCTTGGCAGGGCTTAGGTCTGGCTCTGACGTCCACAGTGGTGGCACCAAGAACGACCTGGAGGGGTCTTTGGCCCTCCAAGAATCTCCATCAGCACCTCAAACCCCCAAATAAGCATGCAATCTAAGTAAAATGGGTGGACTTGCAAACGCAGCTTTAAACAGTAC